CAGAGGATGAGATGGCTGGATGGCATCACTGATTCAATGGGCATGAGTTTGGGTAAACTCCGGGAGCTGGTGATGGACAGGGAGGCCTGGCGTGCTGCGATTCATGGGGTCGCAAAGAATCAGACATGATTGAGCGACTGAACTGAACTGAACTGAAGCGGATGAGGTACTAAGCATGAAGTCCCCCACCTCCCTACCCCTTCATACCTGCAGATGAAGGTAAAGCTCTCTCCAGCTGCAGGAACCCAGGGCTAGGGTGAAGGGAGTGAGGCAAGCCACAAGGTCCCCCCTCCCCACCACCTCCGCCACGCCTTCGGTTTCAGGACTACATTTCCCAGCGTCCCTCGCGCGCCACCCTGACTCGGGTTCCTTAGCAGACACAGAGAGGCTGGCGGCGGCGAGGCGCGGTTCCTTCTGGGACTTGTAGTTCGGTGGGCGGTGCTGGGAGCGCTTAAGTCCAGGTTTTAATTCCGCCCACCTGCATTAGGCTCAGAGACGAGGCCAAGAGTGCGGGCGAGCGGTGAGTTTGCGGCAGGAGAGGATGGGAGGTGGGCTGGTGCGGGGGGAGGGCAAAGGGAGAGAGAGTGTGTGTGTTTTGGGGTGCTCTGTCTCTGTCCGTGGCGCATGGGGAGAGGGTTGGAGGAAGTGGGGTGGCTCAGTTGCGCGCTCTGGGGTGGGGTGGGGGGTGTGTGTGTGACAGCGGCTGGGTCCAGGGCCAGCCCTCCATGACCTGCTGTGTCTCCGAGGGTGAAGGGTCTGGGGTGGTGGGTGTGAGTGAGTGAGCGTGTCAGGGTGCGAGGTGAGCGTGTCAGGGCGCGAGGGGGCTGTCTGGGTGCCCGGGGTGCGTGGGACTGACTCGGAGTGTGTGGCCCTGTCCGCGCGTCCCAGGGCGGGAGACTTCGTGGGATTCCACACTGCAAGGATTCTGACTTTGAGAGGCGTCCGTGAGAGTCTGCACCTGCTCTGACAGGTGGAGTGTGTGGGCACCTAGGGGGTGTGGGCGTGCGCGTGGAGCAGAGTCTGACTGTGTGTCTGAATTCGGGCAGCTCACTCTGTGAAGGGCGTGCTAATCTGATGGCGGTGGCAGGCCTCCCGGAAGCTGGAGGGGTGCATTGAGAGTTAAGAGGGCCAGTGATGAACTTGGCAGGATGGGGCAAGTATAAATGATTTGCAGGGAACACCTGAGGCAGTTGGTGGGGGGCATTGGAGCTGCAGAGACACCCTCAGGAGGCATCTGAGTGTTCCCCAGAGTGGGTGTGAAGTTTGGGGGATTAGAAGGGTTTTTGAGCTTGCAGCGGGTATGAGCAGGAGGGCTGGGCTGAGGGTGGGGGCTGGGGGCATGGTGGGGGCTGGGAGCCTGGCTGGTGCACGCGTGTGAGAGGGGGCAGCCCTGGGTGCTGGGTCCAGGTTGGGCCCGGGGGTCAGCCAGACGGGGTCATGTTTCTAGGGGTGCTTCTGAGGTATGTCTGCTGGTGCGTTTTGTGTCTTTATGCCCAGGTGTCTAAAGTGTTTATCTGAAAAATGTGTGTTTCTACAAGTGTGTGTGTACGTGTCCATGCAGATTGAAGTTGTATGAATCTGAATCTACATATTTGTATGTGGGGGCGCAAGTGACTTTTACTGTTTTTAAAAGGCCTGCAAGGCTAAGGGGGTGACTGATTTTCCAGGTATGTGTGTGTCTGCAGGCCCGGATTTCTGTGGATGGGATTTTGCATATCTGTCTGATTTGATTTCCTAGTAGGTCTCAATTTTTTCCAAGTCTATAAACCCAAAGGAGTGATTTTGAGGTTTAAAGAAAACCATCTGGAGAGAGTGTAAAGGGGAGTGATGGGGGGTCTGAGAGGGGGAGGCCTCTGGGGAGATGGGCCCCCGGGTGAGACTGAGGGTGGACTCTGGGGTGTCAGAAAGAGGTGGTCTGAATGTCCCATAGGGTGTCCTTTGAGTGCAAAGGGTGTCCTAAGTGTGCAAAAGTGTGTGTCCTCAGTGTGTGTGCCTAGAAGTGCCCAGTATTTGAAGCTGTGTCTGTCTGCATATCTGTGTGTGTGTTTGTGTGTGTGCATGTGCCTGAGCTTTGCTGAACCTCAGGATGTGTAACTGCCCATCTGAGTGTGTTTCAGGATCTACAAGTGCGTCTTCATTTGCACACCTGGGGCTCTGGGGCCAGGGGTGTGTCTGAGAGTTGTTGAGAGTCCCAGGAGTTGGGAGTCTGTGAGTCCCAGGGAGGGGATCAGCTCGCAGGAGGGAGTCACTGTGTGTCTGTGATCCTGCAGGACCCACCCCTCCCCCCACCCCCGAGGGGTCCCCAGCGCCCCCCACCCCTGGGTCCCTGAAGCCTGAGCCTCTGTGCCTTTCCCAGGAAGGCCTGGCCTGGACAGTGGGGGAGGGGCGCTGGGGGAGGGGCCGTGCGCTGAGGTCCAGTAGGGACGCCTCAGAAGAGGGACAGTGATGCTGGCAGGCTGGGGGTCTTCCTGGGCGAAGAGGCACGGGACCCTCCCTATGAATAATGAAATTGTGGTGAACATCCCAACGCCTGTGAGGATGTCAAGAGACCGTGTTAACCACCTGACTTGTGTTTAGGGGCGGGGGTGGGGGTTTGTGCGTGTCTGTAAGCGACTCAGCCGCGTTCATTCCCGCGAGTTTGTCCACAGCATCCCTTCGCATCTCCAGAGCCAGCGTGGCTCCAGCGCCAAGGACACGCGCTGAGCAAGCCCGCCCGCCCCTGCCCAGCAGCCGGGACAGAGTCTGGGTTCCCTGGGTCCGGAGGTCAGTCCCGCGGGCCGCAGCTCCGAAGGGTCTGCGCCAAAGGGGAGGGGGCGCCGCGCGGGGCGAGGGGGTCCCCACGGGGAGGGCGGGGGCGCCCTTAGGCGCGGGCGAGCTCTGGGCTGCTGCCTGGGGGCCCCCCGAGACCCCAGGGCGCGCGCGGTGGGGGCCCTGCAGGAACCCCGTCTCCCCTGAGGGCGGGGGGCGTCCTCAGACCCTCGTGAGCCGCGGGGCGACTGGAGTCCGAGCGTTTGTCTGGCCACTGGGAGGAGGGGAGCCTGGAGGGGACACACGAGGCTGGGGTGCCCGGAGGCGGGGTCCCCTCCAGGGCAGGCGGAGGGGAGCTCAGGTCCTGCCCCCCGAGGTTCTGGGGGGGGGGGGGGCGGACCCGGGACTCTGGGGTTTGCTGGAGGCGGCAAATGGGAGATGGGAGAGATGGGCTGGGGGTGCTGTGAGCGCCAGGCGGTCAGGGGACCTCAGACAGCGGGGTCAGCGCGGGCCGCAGAGAGCGCCCGGGGCCGTGCGGGGCGGGGTGGGGCTTCGGGGCGCGCCGGGGAGCTTCCGCCTGCTTCCTGAGGAGAGACACCGGCTGACCCCGGCCCCGCGGGCCCTGCGCTCGCACCTGGGCCGGGGAGCGCCTCCCAGGGGGGCGGCCTCCGGGGAGGCCCGGGGGTCCGGGGTGGGCCGGCGGGGCCGGCGGGCACACGGCGGCTTGAGTCTTCACCTCTGGTGGCTCTCTGTCTTTCGAATACACCTCTGGGCGCCCCGGGTGCCTCAGAGTCTTGGAGCGCCTCATGGAGAGCCAGAGTGCGGGAGAGGCCCCGAGGGGGCCACCACGTTCCTGGGGGGTCGTCCCAGCTCTGCGGGCCCCGGAGGGCCGCCCCAGTTCTGAACCCCCCTGACCCGGTGACCCGCCCCTTGCCCCTGGGCCTCAGCGGACCCGCGGGTTCTCCCTCCTGCAGGGTTTCTCTCCCCGGACCACCTGGCCCAGGACGAGGCCCTGGACTGATGGGGAGGGGCGCTGGGGAGGTCAGAGGTCAGGCTGGAGGGTCCCAGCGTCAGAGACAGTGATTCAGGGAAGGTGGGTGGGAGGCGGTGGGGGGAGGCCTCCTGACCGCCCCCAACAGCGATAGACTTGGATCCAACACAGGACTGCCTGAGTCTGGGTCAGACTGTGTTCTCAATACTTGACATGCGTTTAATCCTACTTAATCCTCACATTTCATCATTCTGCTCATTTTGTGCAGGGGAAAGCGGACAGCACAAGAGGTTAAATATCCCCAAACTGGGGCACAGGACGAATACTTACATTAGATTTTCAACAACTAATAAATTACCTTTTAGTATAGGTACATCCCAAATATTTCATGGCATTTACCTATACTTAAAAGCAATATACTGAAATAAATAAAAAATGAAGTTTTAAAATGTAGACGCGTCCCATGCCGTGTTTGGAGATACACTACAGACTGATGTGTGTCTGAAAGTCAAAGCTCAGTTTGCTGCACATTTGTTATGATGTTAAATCTGGTGAACTTGATCCTTGAGATTCCCAGCTGGTGACTGTTAAGAGTGGAATCCCCCAGTTCTCACCCGAGACACACAGCCTGCCCGGGGGTGATGCTGGGGCAGTGGGGAGACACCTCCCTGCAGGGCTGGCCCCCCCCAGGGCTGTGCTGGGGGTCTGAGGCCCCGTCCCTCTGTTCACCGAGGTCCTGAGGGCGGGACTGATGCCTCCTGTACCTGGATGGGCCGAGCACAGGAGGGGCGGGCCTGTCTGAAGCCCTGGGTCAGGCTGCCTGGTAGCCCTGGGGCGGAGCTGAAGCACAGCACTGGGACTGCTTCACGCGTGCACTTACGGAGCGCCTGCTGTATGCCAGGCCCCAGAGGCCCCTTTGGTGCCCAGTGAGCCGAGCTGCAGCTTCCTGGTCCCGGCCCTTCACGTCACAGTTTTTCTAGTTTCAAAGGGGGTAAGCCCCAGGTACCACGAGCCCTGCCCTTGGCCTTGCCGGGCGCCATGACAACCACTCTCCCCAGATCACACCCTGGGCCTTGGAGGAAAGCAGGAGGAGGCATTGCCAGCACGTCCCCTTGGATGCTGGGGACCTGGAGACGTGGGGAGGGGATGGGGCTGTCTGAGTCCAGCCGACCTCCGAGAGCCAGACCCGGGCCCCCTGGCTCCACCGCCCAGGCACTGACCGCTGTGTCTCCTGTCCGCAGGGAGCAGCAGTGGGGTCACCATGCTGCCTCTGAGCACCATCGAGGGCCAGGAGACCGAGGAGGTGCAGACCAGGCCGCCGGAGAAAGGAGGTGAGACCCGCGTGGGGTGGGAACTGTGGGCAGGCGGGAGTGGGGAAGTGTCCAGGCCATGGGTCTCCAACCCCAAATATCTGTCCCTGGCTCCTCTAAAGGAGGGAGGGCCCTGAGCAGTGCCGGGGATGAACCCCCAGACCTGACCTCGTGCAGTAGGTCCCGTGACTCCGCTGCTTGTAGAATGCTGAAAAGCGTGCCTGGCACATGACAAGTACTCAGCACGGGTTAGTTTTTATCACTGGCTTCATGATGAAGGCCCAGCTACTGAGTTTCTCAAGCCTCATAGGGTGCGATGGCCTCACTCCTCTGTCTTCCCTGCTCAGCCCTGCCTTCTGAGAAGCCTGATGATCTGCTAAACAAAGAGGAGGGGAAGATGTCAGCCAAGCTCCTGCCCATCTGTCCCTTGGTAAGCCTGCTTCTTTTGTTACTTCTACCGGAGCCCCCTTGGTTCTGAGAAGAAAGGCACATACATCAGCCTCTCTGCCCAGGAGAACCTGTGGGTGGCTAGGCACCCCTTATGCCCTTGGCGATGTGGCCCCATCCTCTGGGGGCTGGTTTTCTTGGAGATGCTGCCCTCTTTCCTGCCTCCTCTCTTTCCTAATTCCAACTTCCAGTGCCACCTCCTCCATGAAGCCTCCCTTGGACACTTCCTCCCCATCTGGCTCTAACCCTCTGCCTTGCTGAATTTTCACCAGCTTTATTATTACTGCCTGAGAACATAACTTGTATCTGTGTGTTCATCATCTGCCTCCCCTCCTAGAGGACTTCTGTGGGGGCAGGACCCTCCTCCACTGTTCAGTGACATATCCCCCTCTGCCTAGCACAGATGTAACCCGTGTCAGGCACTGTATACGCTCGGGCTGATTAAATGAAGCAATGAATTAGGGAACGGTCCCTCCTGTGGAGGCAGCTGCGGCCTTGTCCCTCTGGGTACCAGTCCTCCTCCTCCTACTAACCCCCTGGACTTTTCTGGGGGGACCACGTGTCTCTAAGCACTTTGGGTGGATCTGATCCCATCCTCAGACCAGCGCCAGGTACGCCCCTGACCAATCAGAGCCGGCCGTGCCAAGGTTCCCTGTGATTGGTCCTGGGCTGGCACGTGACTCACCCTTGGCCAATGAGGCGTCGGCTCTGTCTCTGGGCGTCTTAACAGGCAGGAGGGGAGGCTGGAGGGACCCTGGTGAGAACCAGCGGGGCCCGTGGGGAGGGGTCAGGGGAGGCCCTGGGTCAGACGCCTGCGAGAACGGCTTTCCTATTAGTGCCTGCCGCAGTCCCGGGGAGGACTCCTTAGAAAATCTTATTAGAAAAGAACGTGAGAGTCACGGGTTCATCCAAATTCACCAACTGTTAATATTTTATTTGCATGTTCTATCTAATAAATATATTTATACATGCATTCCTCAGTCTTTATGACCTTAGACATAGAATATACTCTTACATAAGTGTGGGCTGTTGTAACATTCAGGCTTTTCACCTTGAGACACACCTTCATCTAATCTCTGTCCATATTCCTGTTTCATGAATTAGCTACATGCGCCCTTGTTTTCATTCTTTTCCCCAGACCACAGGGTCCATTCTGGGCCAGGTATTGTGCTTAGCAATGTATCTTTGTGTGAAAGTGTGAAAATGTTAGTTGCTCAGTTGTGTCCGACTCTTTGCGACCCCATGGACTATAGCCCACCAGGCTCCTCTGTCCATGGGATTCTCTCGGCAAGAACACTGGACTGGGTAGGCATTCCCTTCTCCAGGGGATCTTCCTGACCCAGAGATCCAACCCAGGCATGGAACCTGGGTCTCCTGCATTGTAGGTGGACTCTATCACTGGGCCACCAGGGAACCCTAAGGGTGGAGGCCAGAGATCTCTCTCAGCACCCTGCAATGCCCAGCATGGTCCCCTGCCCCCCACTGCAAAGGATGATCTGGACCCAAAATATCCTTAGTGTGGAGGCTGAGACACGCGGAAGAGAGGCAGAATGGTTTTGCCAAGACGAGGACACTGAGTAGGCGCAAAACCCTCTCTCACTAAGTATCAAACATTCGCGATCCTTTTCTTAGATTATCCTGTTCAGTCCTCAGCCGGCCCTGAGGACGCAGTTACTTTTATTTCATTAAACAGAACTGTAAATGGAAGTGGGGGAAGGTCAGGCCACTTGCCCCGGAACCCCCAGCTGTTTGTAATCAAGTTGGAATCCAGCCCCCCGTGGCCCCCCCTAGGTGCCGGGGCTCAGCTCCCACACTAAGGGTAAGCGGACGCCCGGGGCGTGACATTCCCCTCTTGCTTCTCTGCTCTCTCTCCTTCCAGCCGAGTGTCTGCTTTGCTTACTACCTGGAAACGGATGACTCCGACTCCGATTCGCAGTCTGACCCGGACGCCTCGAAGCCCGGCTCGAGCTGCGCCTCCCCCTCCAAGCCTGGCGCGGACCAGGAGGACATCCAGGCGTGGGGGTGTCCTCTGTGCTGCCTCAGCGTCCTCTGCCTCTCCTAGGTCCCGGGGGCCCCCCGCCCCCTCCCGCCTGCGCTGTCCCCGGGGGCCCCCCGCCCCCTCCCGCCCCAGAGCGCCTGCCGGGCTCCTGCGATGTGAAGCCCGCAAAAGCAGCTTCAGTAAACCCAACCTGCCCTCTCTCCCGTGTGGGTGTCTGTGTGTCAACCTCTCGGGGGCCAAGGTGCCAGGGTCCTCTGACCTGGGGGCTCTGTGGCTGGAGAGAGCCCACCCCCCACACCAAGTCCACATTCTGGCTCGGGGGAAGGGCGGCAATGAGGGGAAGGGAAGACACACTTTAGACCCTCAAGGGGAAACTCCTCCAAGATGCCCAGACCGCTTTTCCTTAAACCTCATTGACTGGAGCCTAGTCACATGACCATAAATAGCTGCAAGAGAAGCTGAGCAACCCTGTGTCAGCTAATAGCTCCTGTTATTATAGCAAAGGAGAATGGCCTTGTGTTCACTGCTGACTGGGTCTGGTATGTTCATTTATCCCCAGCACTAGGCTGTGATGAACACATGAGTGAAAATAATTTACTCTTCAATTCTGTGTCTCTCTCCCATTGATGAGGATCTCCTTCCTTTAAGCAAATATTTAGAATAATGAACATTTCTTGGGACTTCTTCCAGTGGTTAAAACTCTGAAATTCCAATGCAGGAGCTGTGGGTTGGATCCCTACACATATAACATCTCACACACACACACACACTGAAATACTACTCAGTCATAAAAAAAGAATGAAATTCTGCCATTTGCAACAATGTGGATGGACATGGAAGGTATTAGGCTTAGTGAAATAAGTCAGATAAATACTCTATTATTACTTACATGTGGCACCTAAACAGTAAAACAAACAAATGAATATAACAAAATAGAAACAGACTCAAGGCTTCCCTGGTGACTCAGTTGGTAAATAATCTGCCTGCAGTGCAGGAGACCTGGGTTCAATCCCTGGGTCAGGAAGATCCTCTGGGGAAGGGCATGGCAACCCACTTCAGTGTTCTTGCCTGAAGAATTCCATGGACAGAGGAGCCTGGTGGACTACAGCCCATGGGGAGACAGAGAGTCGGACATAACTGAGTGACTAACACAAACTCATGGATGTAGAGAATAAACTAGTGGTTACTTGGGAGGGGAGGAGGGCCAAGAGAGGGGTATCTGATTAAGAAGCACAAACTACTATGTACGAAACAAATAAGCAACAAGGATGTATTATGCAGCACAGTGAAATAAAGCCATTATTTTGCAATGACTTTAATAACTTTAAATCACATAAATAATCTACTATAAATAATCAAATATAAAATAATCTATAAAAATATTAAATCACTATGTTGTTCACCCAAAACTAATATAAACCAACTATACTTCAGTTTAAAAAATGGCCCCAACAGAAGAATAATTTCTTTCTTCCAGAATAAGTTTCGCAAGGACCATCCAATTAGAGCACTGGCGAAGAGAAATCCACCAAAGTAAGCCAGTAGTCCTCCTCCACATAGGTAACTGACCATAAGCCCAACAACTGGAGTAATTTCTAAACTCTGCATACGATTCTGCTCATGATAGAAAAACATTTCATTCACATGCAAAAGACCTCACAATAAAAAAAAAAAAGATAAAGAGTTATATGGGTCAGATCTGGGCTTCCCTGGTGGCTCAGGTTGTAAAGAATCTGCCTCGGAAGCAGGAGACCCAGGTTTGGATTCTGGGGTGGGGAAGATCCCCTGGAGGAGGGCATGGCAACACACTCCGGTATTCTTGCCTGGAGAATTCCATGGACAGAGGACTCTGGCGGGCTACAGTCCATGGGGTCGCAGAGAGTCAGGCACGATTGGGTGACTAACACTTTCACCTCACATGGGTCAGGTCTGGCCTCTTGGGATAGCTGTCTACTTCTGATGCCATCTCCTTTTTTCCTGGTCTGAGAATAATTTCTCCTGCGCTTGAGCATGGTTGTGAGATGATTGGAGGCCAGCAGTCCTCGCCATAGATGAGTCAGATTTCATAGCAGAATCTACAGATTTGGGGGGGGGGGTTCCTGTCTTCTCAAGGAAGGCCTCCAACGTACACTGAGTTTCCTGAGTCTGCCAGCAGCTGTTGTTCCTTGTTTACCTGGGAGTGCTGCTAGGAACTCTGAAGCAAGGTACCAGGCTATGTTTCCTAGGAGCTTTGTGACTCCTTAAAGTTCACCTAGGTTCTTTAAAGCTGTCTGGTTATACTCTATGCATATTCTCAACTATTTTTCCATTTATACCCTGTTAAAGAAGAGATTCTTATTGAATTTATGCAGATAAGAATACTTGCTAAGAGCTTCCAAATTCTGGAAGGATCAGGTAGAGGGTCAATATAAACGTTTCACTTCGGCTTACAAAGGTATAATTTACCAAATTGCTGTCATAACTAAATGAAAGCGAAATGTTTCCCTACGCCTAGAAAACAAAGATTAAAGCCAGCATTTCAGACAAAAAGCCGTAAAAATTGAAAGGATATTCATCCCTTCACTCGGTCCTGTGT